TATATATATATATATTAGCAATTCTGTGTGTGTATTGCTTACTTATATTATTATTATTAATTCTCTATAGTCTATTTTAATGGGAGAGTTACAGATGAAAATACAATGCGTCTTTCAGATCCGTACCTCTACCATCGGTTTGCGTCCGAAGTATATCAGTTGGAGTTCCTCGTCCAACAGCATTGAAGGCTGCAATATAAAATTGATATCGAGATCCGCATCTCAAATCATACAGAGCATATTCAGACTCAGTAGCAGTCATCTCAATTTCTTGCCATTCACCCATATCATACTTATAATACAGGACGTAACCTTAAAAAAATAATGATACATAAATAAATAACATCTTGAATGAGTACTTTAAAGATTAATCTCATCTTACAAAATCATACTTTTCTCTATATGTGAAAAAATTACACTGAATTGCTTTTGAACTTTGATTAGTCAATGCTGTGATTGTGTAAGTTGCGTTTCTCATTTGGGGGAGCTATTTTAGTCTTTTCAATTACCAGTGTATGCAAAACTACAGAATTAAAATTTTGATTTCGATAGTTGGCAAATATAGATGATGAGCGATTTTATCTTCAAAAGCGCTAGAGAACTTAAACTTTCCAGGTCAGCAGTTTCAAGGCTAGACCAAAATTACAAGGATGGTAAAAAACTAGCAATCGGGCAAGCAGCAAAGGATTATAAGCCATGAATTAACTAGGGGTGAAATGTCCCAGCCGTATTGTATGTAGCCAAGAAAGTCAAATATTTGCCGACATTAGCAATAAACTATCTACCAGCTATAAAAGCTGTAACCTCAACTACCTGTCGTGTGCATAAATAAGCAACAATTCTACGCAATTTGAATAGCATTGTTTATTCCTAATTCAGAGGCACTTCAGAGTAATTATTTGTATTAAAACTGCAAACATTCAATAAAAATATGCATAAATATATATGAAAAATATACATAATATACATAATAAAAATATAAATAAAAAATATAAATAAAAATATAAGTATACATAGCATAATCTAACAAAATTTAGCATATCTAACTTATCCGATTTTCTTTCATTTTTTTGTATTTAAAGTAGTAGTTTAATTAATGGTTTTTTATTTTATTCCAGATTTTATATATTAGCTATAAATTATTGGCCATTTTTGTTCTTAATTTAAACGCAAAAAAATTGATAATTATTTGCAAAGTGTGAGGTTTTGATGAATTTAAAAAAAAAATCTAATAATCGAGGGTCGTTTTGAATAAAAGCAAATTTCTTTCTTTAGGTAAGTTGAAAAAATAAAAAGAAAGGAAATTTTACAAGAGTCGTAAATATTATGCAGCTTGCAGAAAGTAGGATAATGAAATGTCCCTTAAGGTTTGGGTGATAATGAACAATAAACAGAAAATTCAGAAAGCTTTTAGCCATCAAAATGGTGGTTTCAAGTGTTTAATATAAGAGTTTATTTTTCTTTCGCGAAGTTTAATACGACTTAGTCTTAACGAGCTTATAAATAAGTCTTATTCCCTATTATTTTCTCGTGTTCCATACCGGGTCGAATTTTCATATTTTAGTATATTGCAGATTTTATTCTGCAGTAGAAATGTATAGAATAGATAGAAACACCGGCTAAAAAGGGCTTATAACATGTACCTGAAGAAATAATCAGAATAAATCTTTGTAACACAATATACATCATCATCATCATATCTGGTTAGACTGCCCAGGGTGGGCCAGTGCCTTCCTTTGAATTCAAATCCACTTCTCTCTACTTTTGACGCTTGTTCGCCAGTTTTTCTCCTTTTGAGTAAGGAAATCAGTCTCAACTAAATCCAGACATCTTAGCCTGGGTCTACCTCTTTTCCTGTTCGTTAGGGGTTTGTGTAATAGGATTTTCTTTAAATTTGAGTCATCATTCCTTCTGAAAATGTGAGCTGCCCAGTTCATTCGATTTATTTTTATGAATTTCACAATATCTGGCTCTCTGTAGATTTTATACAGTTCAGTATTATATCGTCTTCTCCAGGAATTATTTATTTTTATCCCACCAAGGATGGCCCTCAAAACCTTTCTCTCAAAAATGGCAATATACAAGGAGTACAAGGAGAATGGCAATATACAAGGAGTACAAGAAGTACGTAATATACAAGGAGTTATAATTGTACTATTCATATCTCTCCTTAATAAAACATCGTAAGTACCAATGCAACTGTTGTTTTGGGTTTTGATCTTAACGTTACATTTTGTTTATCTCCATAAAAACTATAAAACTTAGTAACTTGAAATTATGAAAATGTGCAGGAAAATGTACAAAGAGTACAATGAAATAAAAAAATTCCCATTCGATACTTCGAAAATTATCAACTGTTAATCTCGTGAGGAAAAAAAGTATGTAGACTGCTCTATAGGGCACAGGAATACAACTAGAGTTGAATTTTGTCAGACTGAAATGGCTATTCTTATTTATGAACTTAATACGGGCTTTTTTTCAAAATTCTAATTTGTACGAAAGTTATTTCAATTTTAGCTGCTTTGTGATTTTTTTTCCTTTTTTTTGAATTAAATAATGATTATTTATTCATTATTGTCAAAATTTTATCACTCATGAGATTTTCATTTTATTTGATCGCACTTGACTTGATGACAAAAGTGTTAATTAAATAAATATAAAAAGAAAAAAAAAACTAGAAAAAATGATCAGATGTTACTAGATATAAATCATAACATTAATATTTATTTTTTTCTGAAAATTATAAATGTATCAAGTCAGATATTTTTTCCCCGTCTGAACTGTTATATGATATAAGATTATCGTTTTAGAGTTGTAACAAATAAAATTAAGTCCCCTTTATTACTTCTTACTGTGTCTCCAATTTCGTATTCTCAAGTTTAAATGTTTTTTTTCTTCCAAGAACTATTGATTAATTTAAATGCCAGGTAATCGAAATGTTTTCTCATAAAATTATATATTTTATAAACAAAATTATATATTTCATATGCAAAATTACATATTTCATAAACAAAATTACTTTTTTTTCGATTGAAAAGTATCGAAATTTAAGAAAAAAAAGTTTAATTAATGGTATTAGTGGTCATGTTAGCAAGCGAAGCGAGCAGATTGTGGAGCCTAATAATTTAGGAATAAATTAAACTTTGGTTTCCGCCATATTTAAAAATAGCTAATTAGTTTCAAAAATATTAAAAAAAGGAATACAATACGGAGTGGTATTTATAACAAAGATTTTTTTTAATAAAAAGGATACATCTATTGCATAGTTTTGAGATTATATTATTCAAAGTCTTAGCAAGTTTTGTTTTACCTTGGACTGGATTATCTTTTTCAGTTTGTTCCCAAGATAATCCGATAGAAGAATGATTTGTGAACATTACTTTCATGGCAGGGCTTTTTGGAGGATCTGAAAAAATTTTTTTAATAACATAATCATAATATTAAATATTATAGTTTTATACTCGACTATTATAAAACTATTGATTGACTTAGTAGTTTTTGATCAAGTTAAATGGTTTTTAGGAGTTTATATGAACTATAACTTAATATGCAAGTATTTTATTCGTTTTAAATTAAAATTCTAAAATACAATAATTAGAGATGTTTTTTTAATATATTTTTGACATTTGAAGTTTCATTAAATTTATTTACTTAAAATTTCCAAAAATTAATTCAATAATTATTTCAATAATAAGGGAATAATATATCAATTCTATTTAATAAAAGAATTAGCTTAATACTAGTGTACCACATTAGTTAGCAAAATTAGGTATTAGTAGCACATATTAAGAATTATAATATCCAAGCATTATTTTTAATATTTGCCCATTATGAATAAAAATTTAAAATTACAGAGTTCGTCCAAAAAGCAATATAAGAGATTATACTGTGAAGCGAATACGCAAAACAACGTGCTTAGAGCAGTCAAGATTGATATGAAAGTGAATTAGATAAAGCTTGCATATAATAATATCTAGAATATTTGAAACAGCATTAATCTAGATTTAAGACGGAATGTATTTTCTTACAAACGATGACGCATAGTCGTTTCACATCAGATATTTTTAACTTGAGTTCCTAATTACCGTTGAAATTCTAAATTTATTTCGATTTTTATACTACTTTATTGGGCTTCTTATAGTTTCATCATAATAAAACTCTATTTCAATAAGAAATATAAAATTACGAATTTTAAATAAAGTAAAATTTGCTAATTAGTTTAATGCAAAATGATATTTTAGAAACGCATATAGTTCATCATTTAATTTCGTTCTTATTCTTGTTTAGACTCTGAATTTGAAGAGAGGGATTTCTATACTAATAGATAAAATAATATTCAAAATTTCGTTCCATGAAACATATATTATTAACTACTTAAGCCTGTAAAGCTATTTCAGGTATTTTTTTACAAAGTAAAGAAAATGATATAGTTCAGATGAAGAGATTTTAGGATTGGAGTAAGTAATTCACGTTTAAGTTTTCAACTTTAATACTTTGATATCAAAGCGAATGAAACTTCAGTTTTCTAAATTATATTATACTTCAAGTGCAATTTATTTTATCACTCTCTTAAATAAGTAGTTGGAAATTTTATATTAGAATATATTTATCAATGTTTACCTCATAAGACTTAACTATAATAAAACTTAAACTTCTTTATAATATTTGCATTAGTAAAAGCTTTTAAAATTGCTGATAAAGTTTATTTGATATAGTTAAGAAAATATCATGAAGAATGATTTTGTTTATGTAAATTTCCTGGAAAGTTACATTTAAATATTAATATTTCACATACACAATAAAAACTCTTTAAAGTGTATTAATACTTATTTTTTCTTTTAGTTCTACCAACAAGTCAAATTTAGTTTAATAATATTTTGAATAAAATAAATGTATAAAACGGGATGAAATATATAAAGCTGAATTTTGAAAGCTTATGCAGTATCCAACCAGCCTTAAAATATGAAATGGAATTATATGATATAGAAGTTTTCAATATTATGTTTAAACTCTTTAGAATTGGAAATCTTCATTTTTTCAAATTAGTATAAGTCCGTCTTCGAATAAAAAAATGTGCATTAATTGCAAATTTAATTAAATCTTATATGCTTATTTTACGTTGATCAATAAGTTTTAAATTATACTTGAAATGATCAGCTGTTATATAACTGGCGAATTATTTCTCATTTCGATCTTGACGATTAATTGAATTTTCCTTCGAATTACTTAAATTTGAACGGCAAGAAATATTATTATTTTTGTACTTGAATTTTGTGTATGATTTATTTTTTGCAACACAGAAATTTAAAATAAATAAACAAAATTGTGACTCATTTTAGAGAAGCTAAATAAAAGGTAGACTTGTCACACATTTTTAAACACGCGTTTTACAAATAAAATTTCTAAATAAAAGCACCTAGTTTAAGAAGTGTAAAGATTTTTCTAAAATAAAGTAAAATAATAGCATAAATATTAATATTTATTTTAAAAATCTTACAAACAATTAAGGATCTATTTTTTTGATAAATCAGAAAAGTTTGGTAAAAATAAAATCACTTAGATTTTGCATGCGATATGTAGAAATTGATTATTAAAATTTCAGTTATCAGAAAGAATAAAGGCAATTTTTTTAGCATTTTCATACATTTTTTGTATACGAATAAAATTCCTTTATCTGTAATCAATATTGTTTCGTCTTTAATTTCTTGGTAAATCATTATGAATAAAATATTTTAATTAATAACTGTGCATTTTTTGGAGAATTGTATTGCATTTTTTCCAAAGGGACTTAAATTTTTGTGTATCGTTTTGTTTTTAAATTAATATTTAAATTTAATTATGTCTTTCATCGGATATTTATCTAAATGAACAGAAGAATAAAGTAAGATCGAATAATCTGAATTCTAAGCTAGCCTTAAGCGAAGGGCAACGCAGAGAAATTTGTAAATAAATAATTATGACTGAATAAAGAAAAGTTGGTTTTCAACTCTGAAATACCAAATAGGATTGCAATTAATGACTAAGTAAGTAATCAATAAGTTTTAAATTACTAAGCAAAACGGTTTTCTTTAGTATTTAATCTGCCATATATGTTTTTATAAACATTTCTGTCTGTATATTGTCAGAAGAATGACTGAAAAATATCTGCTTTCTCGCTATCAAATTGTTAAAACAGTGTTATCTGAAAAAATTTACAAATTTACTTACTCCATTGGATAGATGACAGCTAATTTTTAGCAATTAAAAACTGTTTTTTGCTGATGCTGATATTGTATATTCACAATTTTTATTTCAATTGTTAATTATCGTTAATTATAGCACAATAAAGACAAAAATGATAAAAAGAGAAAAATAAGAAAATTAATAAGTTTCTTTTATATATATATNTGATTATCTATATATATATATATATATTGTATATATCGTATTTCGCTATCTAAAAGTTTTATTTCGAATAAATTGTGCCTAAAAAATTGAAGAAGGTTCACATAGCTCATCTCGTATGTTGCTCAAAAAGGGGGACTTCAAAAGATACTGTTTAACTTCTAATGTATTATTAATTAGAAAATAAATTTCATACATAAAAATTTAAACATTTACTTTTTACAGATATATGCAATATTTTTAATTATTTTAATTGATCAAATTATTTTTGATAAAATTGTCTCAGTATGAGCACTTAAAAAGTAATTATTTTGCATTAAGTTAATTATTAATTATGTACATTTACCATTTTCCAAGGTTTTCACTATGACTTGGTCAGACGGCGGTCCTGCACCCTTTGCATTGAATGCTTGTACAATCACAGCGTATTCCGTGAATTTCTTAAGATCTGTGAGTTGCGTTTCCTCGATGAAATTTTCTCCACCTTTTGCATTCAGCGTTTTGTATATGAACGTTTCTTTAGACGTCGATTCTTTGTATCCTACATAATAACCTTTAATAATTCCAAATTGGAGATCTTTTCTTGGAGGCTGTGGTAAAAAATGCAAACACTGTATTGTTTTGAAAATATGAAATGATATTTACCTGGCATGCAATATTTGGCATGTTTTTTGTCGAAAAAATTACATATGCACGTAAAACTGATTGGGAGGTTCAAATAAGAGGTGGAAATTTTTTTCACCCTCTCAAAAGAATTTATTGTAAGCAATGCATTATTTGTCATTATTTGAAATGAAATTGAGCATTTGTGATGCGAAAAACATCCTTTTATTAGTTGCTTTAACGTCTAAACAGTCATGCTCAAAACAGAGTGGGTTGGTTATAGTGATATTTATCACAGTTTTTCTAATTTAAGAAATATTCGGTGACTTTGTTTATACATATAAATGTTTTGGAGAAGAACTCAAACGGAGAGCAATAATTTTTTTCTCTCAACAATAGAATTTAAGGCAAATAATTTAGTATATCTTATCTATTTGTGTGCATTATTTCAGTATAACTCTACAATTGTTTTTATGAGTCAATTCATTTATTTTTTCATTGAAATTTTGGTATTGTAATAATGTTCTAACAACGGATAAAATAATTGAAACACTTCAGGGTCATGAAACGGTTTTATTTCCTTTTAACTTCAAATAAATAAATGATTACAATTCTAATGAAACTTTCCTTTATCCTACCTTTATCATACAGAATTTTTCTGTTCATAGGCAAAGAATTACAGTCCCAAATTGCTAGAAATTTGGATAGAAAAACTCATCAAATTAATATTTTATGTCCTTTTTTATTTTGTAATAATTATAATTCTGTAATTAATTATAATTATATTAATTATATATTATAGTTATATTAATTATATCTTAAAGTTATATTAATTATATATTATAGTTATATTAATTTTTATATTATTTTGTAATAATTATAATAATTACATGAAAAGAACTTTCTTTGTCACCACATTAAATACTGTACACTATCAAAAATTCCAGATCATATTACAATATGTCGTCACTCTGGGTTAATCATCCGCAAAATCGATTTTACCATAATATCCATTTTTACCATAAAATATTATATTTGACTTTTTACAGTAATATTTATTTAAGTATAATGATTTAACCGAAACTTTTTCTGCAAATCAGTTTTTTTTTCTGGAACGCGTTGCGCTAAAAACAAATTTTATGGTAAAAAGTGTCGGACCCCTGAGTGCCAGCATTTTTTACTGTAAGTTGATCCGGAATTTTTTACAGTGTAGCATTTAAAACTCTGTTAAGCTGACGAAATTTAAACACTGGTATTTGAAGAACTCACTTTCCACGATACTTTAACAATATGAGCTCCAACTGCTCTTGCTTTCAGTTTTTGAGGTGGTCCTCCGGGAGCTGAAAATGAAATATTCATCCATTTTAATAATGGTTTCTTACAATGTCTAGGAAAAAATATAATAAATCCTAACAGTTATTGAATGCATTTGCAATAGTGATTGTGAAAATACAAAACAGCAGTTTTTTTTTATTAGTGGAACAAATTATTCCGCTTAAAAGAATGAGTAATAGTTTGTAATTAAAAACTTTCAACTCTCATTTTGTATGTAGTAAATATTTTCGCATTTCGCTATAGAAAATATGATAGAAATTATTATATTTAAAAATGGTATTTAGTTTCTTTAATACATTGGTTTCATCGGTTCATTTGAATGTTTTGTTTTTTAACTAAGTTTTATCTTAAACGTTTCACGATTGCATCTTAAAAAAAGACTAAACTTTAATGGTTTCATTGTTTTAAAAAATAAATACTAATTTAATAATTATATTGAATTTTAGTCTGACATAGAAACTTATCTGACATTTCCACTCTAACTAACATGGAGTCTGATAAGCATGGATAGAAAGTAGAATGCTTTTAAGCTAAAATAAGTAAATTAAGTTTTTCTTCTCTATAAATCTAAGAAATGTGTAAATTTTAACGTTTTTTAAATATTAAGATCATTTACAGAATGCGTAGCAATTATTTTTTAAGCAATCATAGTTGTATTTAACTTATTTTATTAATCTCAAAAATGCATCAGTGCTCATCAAACATTTAATTTCAGTATTTAAAAAGATTATTTTTTAAACATTATTTATTTAAAAATAGTAGATATTACTTAAATGTATTAAATTATATTTTGAAAGTAAGTGTATTAAAAATGCTTTTAAGTGACTCAATAAACGAAAATGATTAAATTTCCACAGTTGTCATGAGCTTCGAAAAATATTTCTTATTTCTCGTTATACAAACATTCCTTAATTTATCAGAACATGCCTGAAAAGAAACCAATATCATTCTGCTATTTCATTAGAAAACAAAGTTTTGGCGAATTTTTCTTTAAATGCATCTGACATTAAAATAAAAAAATAAATTAAAGATGTTGTTAAACTATAAACAAAGGGCTTTTTCAGAATTCGTTTTAGCTTTATTTCCCTCGGGCCAAAAAACACTTAAAGAAATATAAGAAGATTTACCATAAAAGGAAATAATGAATTCTGTAATTGCATTTACGACACTTTGTTTATTCGCATGTACTTAATTTTTTCAGAGATTAAATGTTTAAAATATATTAGAATTAACTTTTTAGCAGTTGGTTCTTAGTTTCGAGCAAAGTGAAACATATTGTTTTTCCAACTATTTTGAGAGGATTATAAATATAATGAGAACATGATATTCCGAATTCGAGAATATTCCTTATAAATATATATTACTCATAATAGTTAAGTTGGCTTTTTAAAAGTGAAATAGAATTAAACAAAATTTATTAATTTCATAAATTTATTCCTAGATATTTTATCATTATTTTAACACGAATGATTTCCTTAGATTTTATTATATAATTCAGACTTATTAAATATTTTTTTACACTAGAATTATGTTTATTTTTTTATTTTATGTATTTGGCAAAGCTCATCTATTATATAACAAATATAGATTCAATAAATTTTCTGAATGTAGCCATGGACGTTCATGATTAAATACTTTAACTTTGATTATTATTTATGAATATCTTTCATCATTAGATACTGTAATATTATAGTCTACATTTACATTTTTATCTATGAGTTTTATTTTGATTCAACAAAGACTTCATTTTTATGAGTGTATCTTCTTCTATTAGAACTCGTATGTTTCTCGTCAATTAACCTATCAAATTGTAGATAGCTCTAAACCAGTGTTTCCCAACCTTTTTAGTGCCATGCCCCACCTAAGTCATTCTAAAATTCTTTTGCCCCCCTATGTAACATATACATAATTTTTAATATTTAAAAATTGAATTGTTCACTAAAGAAACTTAAATGATAGGTTTTAGGAAGAAATCACTAGGAAATTGTTAACGAAACACAGTAAGTACATTTTCAAAACATATAATGAAAAACTAAAATTCAAATAGTTTTAATAAAGATTTTTCTATAACAATTTAAATTTAGTGAGATCCTTGCTGCACGGAGATTTTATGTTAGGTTCCAATTTGGTTAACTTCAGTCTCAAGTATCCCCGTTGTGTTATATCAAGGCGATTTCTTTTTCTAGCAGTAAATCATTTACAGCACTAAATCCAAATTCAGCTAAATATGAAGATGGATACGGTAGCAATAGTTTTCTTGCACATTTGGTTGAATTTGGGTGTATAATTTCTGTTTCCTCACACAGCCATGCCATTACTCCCTTTATATTAAATAAAGTTTTAACTGACTCATCATTTTGCATTTCTGCGAGTTCTTCTTGATACTGCATATTTGATATATCAGACAAATCCACTAACTTTGGCTGCATCATCCATGTTGGAAAATCAATTTGTTNTATATATATATATATATAATACAAATATATTGGAAGATAGCTGTTAAAGTTTTTAAGTGCTATCTGAAGAAATCTTAAGAAAATAACTAAAACTCAGACTTTGAAAACTTATACATCAATTTTTTTATGAGAAAAGGAAAAAAACGTAAATCGGGCGCTTGCGAAGTAAGTAAATCTGCAGACTCTCACTCCGTTCCGATTTTTCCCTTCCTGTTAAGGACCATATAAATCACTGCTTAAAAGCTCCTATTACTTATTTCTTGCATCGTTTCTTGGATCATTAAATGCTGAAAGAAAATGAATTTGCGAAACTGCCGAAAGTTCGACAAGTAGTATGATGTTTTTATGATAAACTGTTACATGAAATTATAACATAAAATTCCATGTTAATATTTTTTGCCATTCGTGTAAAGCGCCTTTTAAATAATATGAGATACATAGTAAAGTTATTTTAATATTTTTGAAACACATTGATACGTAATTAATATGTATAGATAATAATAGTTTTCGTGCATGATTTAAACAATTTCATAAATGTAACGGGAACTGCGAGAGAATTTTGCATCTAAAACATGAAAATATAATTTTTATTTAATAACTAAATTTCTATTGTTATCATGTTTTAAATAATAATGAAATGCTATCGCTTAATTGATTTGTTTCTGCGTTGGTAAAAGGTTTCACGTCTATGTATGTGTTTTTAAAATACATCCTTCTACTACTCTTTAAAATTCATTCTTACTTTTCATCGTTGATTTTTTTAAAAATTAAACGAGAAAAAAAATTCTGGATAAAAATTCTTTATGGTAAAAGGAACCGGCACTCAGCGTGCCGACAATTTTTACAGTAAAATCCATTCAAAATCAGATAAACTGTAATTTTTACAGCGGTAATTACCGTAAAGTCACTAAACTACTCTCTAATTAAATATCAATTGCTGAAAAAATTATGGTGTAAATCTTACGGGAAAAATGAAATTTACGGTAAAATGGATTTTACGGATGATACACCTAAAGTACCGGTATTTTGAACCTTAATTTGATCCAGAATTTTTAAAATGTAGGTCGAAGATTAAGTAGGCAACAGCCATGCATATATATATTCTTAATTTTTGAGATATTATCATTATTTAACTCCGGAATTGTAAAAATTAATCAATTCTACCTGAATATAGGTCATTTTTGATAAATTTTACGAAAATATGTTTTTGTGGAATCTTCCTTCCCAAGTGTCAATCGCTATGACAAGACTACCTTTAAACACCCGTCTTGAAAACTATCTATTCTTTACTAATCAATATTGTTAAATTTTTATGATGTCATTTAAAATGTTTTTCAGAATTCCTACGTTAAGGGAAATAAAAAAAAGTTACAGTTTTAGTGCTTTTAATTAAAAACCGTTTCATAAAATACCATCTTTTCGTCGAAAAAAAAATAATCTGGACCTAATATCGAGGAATTTACTGACAAGTTTAACAGTTTGTTTTTTTAATATTTAAAAAAAAATCTTTTAATCTTGTTAAAAAATGGCAGATACGGCAAAGTTATTTCTGTCTAGAGAAAAATTAACGAATTTAATTAAAAACTTAATTAATTACTGCAAATTTTTACGAACCCACAAAATACAGCTTTTAAAAAAATAATCAAATATTAAAGGAATGAAATCATAAATTCATTTCATTTTCACGAGATTGCAGCTTTTCTTCATATTAACAGTTTGTGTCGTTTCCATGATTACGTTGATGGTGCTGGTTAAAAATCTTAATCAAACGTCATAAATAACTATTACACACTCACAACAGTTATAAAAATAGCACATTGCTAGTTAATAAGGGTGATTTCGAGTGAGCTTAGAGCCTTGGAATGACGGCCTCAAGGTCACTGAATATTTCTCAATTTTTTTTGCTAATTTTTGTGATCAGCATTTAAGTAACTTTTTAAATATCAAAAAGTTCCATTGGAAATGCTTTCAATTTGCACAAAAACTGGTTTTTCTTCATACTGATATTTTGCACTATTTTCGTAACTAGTAAAGAAGCAACTGGCTAAATGTAGAAAATACGTAATTTAACAGTCATAAAAAACTATTGCAAACTGTCAACAGTTGTATATTATTTGTTAAAAAGTGTTACTTCAGATGACAACAGTTTTCGAGACGAAAACTTAAGGTCACTCAATAATCCCCGATTTCTTGCAAGTTATTGTGATCCTAGATAATGCAGCGTTTGAATAACTTTTTAAATAAAAAATTTTTTTACAAATGCTTTTCATATTTGCAAAAAACTGATTTTTCTTCATATTAACACTTGGCGCAATTTTTCTAACCATCAGAGATGAAACTGACTAAAGTTATACTATATTTTACCTAAGAGTTCGGAATAATTAATTAAAAGACGACCGAAAATAATGATATATAAAACAATCATTAGACCTGTCTTAACCTAATCTGAACTTAGGTCTAGATCTGAAACCTGGTCTTTCACTAAATCACTAGTAGGCCTGTTTCCTGTTTTGAGAAAAACCTTGAGAAAAATTTTCGGTGCTATAAAT